ATGTGTAGCTTGAAGCTAATTGTAATTTCTCTGTTAAGAAACTGTTAAATTTTCCAAAAAGATTTTTAAGTATAGTAATATAATGTACCACATGCTGATCAGAGGGATGTGGGTGGGATGTAATGCCAGTAGTAATTAGTTACACTACTAGTTACTGCAAAAAGTAATATTATTACAGTAACTAAGTTACTAGTTACTGCCCAACACTCTTTGTAATTATCATTTCAATCGGGCTAATTTTCAAATTGTTTGTCGTAAATAAATATCTCAGAAAAATATGTTATGGGGTTTCAAATCGTAATATGACTTTTTGTTACGAAACAGGGCATAATTTTCATAGCCTACATGTCTTCTGTAGAGGACACCAGGAAAACGGCATGTTAATCAGGCATTTTGGGGAAACTCAAAAAGTCAGAAAGAAATTATAGATCAATATTCCTATGAAATATGAGATATTCTTATGAAAATGTTGCCAAGTTATTGCTCACATTATAACACGTCTTTTTTCATTATAGTTTGCCCGCAAGAACACATTAATATGCAAATTAGATGCAATGTATAGATACATTGTATAGAATGGGAATACCAATTTATGGACATTTTACGCACATATTCCATAAAGTAGAGTAGTAAATCAAATCATTCTGTTATATCTTCCATAACATAGTTGAGAATCATCTTTGTACAACGTCTGGATGAAAATAGCCTGAAACCTAAAAACTTATTGGTGAATGAAAAAATAAAACATTGTTTATGCCTTTTCATGTCTATTTATTTATTTTTATTTTATTTTATTGAATAACTGGTGTCCTCTACCTATTTCTCTACAAATGACTTTAATATGAATAAAATATTTTTTTTCAAAAAAAAAAAAATTCTCCATTTGTTTCTATGCTCCAACCAATGTAATGACATAAAAATAATAAAATTCCCTTATAAATAAAATTGTTCTGGTTCTCAGGAATATATGTATATTAAAAGTTTAAATAATACCAAAAAATGTAAAGCAAATTATAAGACCAATTAAATTACATTCCAAGTATGTTGCCAGAAGTTTAGAGTTTTAAGGCACTCTTCGGTTTTAATTGTTTTATGGACTGAAGTAAAATTTTTAAATGCCTCAAAACAAGGAGAAGCTTTAACAAATCTACATTTATGTATAAAAAACTTGGCTACAATCAACATATTATTGCAATTCAATCTCTTTGTTAAAGACATCGAAGATGAAAACACTTATTTAAAAAAAAAAAAGTATTTTGTTATTTGTACACACTAGATGGCAGTAAGCTGTTTCATGAGGAAACTCACACGAGAGCGCGAGCTGAAGAAGACGGTTCACCCTCAAGAGTTTTGCTTCCGGTGTGTTTCTTCCTTTTCCTGTTGCCGCAGTGTGAGAGCTATAGGGAGGACTCGGCCCTCCGACAAAATCCAACTCCATCCACCTTAATAGGTGATTCTTTTCTGCGCCAAAATGACCGAGCAGATGACAGTAAGGGGGACTCTTAAGGGTCATAGTGGATGGGTCACCCAAATCGCCACCACTCCCCAATTTCCCGATATGATTCTGTCCGCGTCTCGGGGTAAGTGTTCTCAGAGCCGCGCTGCAGCCTAATGAGCATCCGGATACACGAGCCCTTAACATTTACACTGAATAAAAGGTCCATTCAGCTCTAGCTCTGTATAAAGCTGACATTTTGCACTATCGAGACCTAGTTTATGGTTAAATAGAATATAATGTAGCATCAGTGAATGGTAGTAACTAGTGTGTGAGATGCCTCCAGCTGTCAGAATTATAAAGCAAATGAAGGTTTACAGGTATAAGATCTGTTAGGTGATCTTCTGTTGACCACCTTGCAGACAAAACCGTCATCATGTGGAAGCTGACCCGTGATGAGACCAACTATGGCATCCCGCAGCGTGCTCTGAAGGGCCATTCCCACTTTGTGAGTGATGTTGTCATCTCATCCGATGGTCAGTTCGCCCTGTCTGGCTCCTGGGACAGCACCCTGCGCCTGTGGGATCTGACAACGTGAGTATTTGGAGGCACAGGGCAGTCATTCAAAATCAGTTCCATAGAATTTGAAGTGATGATGAAACTCAAATGTCATCTGTGTCATTGTGATGATAAAGAGGCTGTTTCTGAATTTAAAACTCTTAGAACCCCAAAGAACGTGGTTGTTTTCAATCTTTCAAAACAAATGTAGTTCAAAATGTCAGGTTAATTTGAATTTGTGCTTCTTTTTTTCACCCAGTGGCACTACAACCCGCCGTTTTGTTGGACACACCAAGGATGTTCTGAGCGTGGCTTTCTCTGCTGACAACCGTCAGATCGTGTCTGGATCCAGAGACAAGACCATCAAGTTGTGGAACACCCTGGGAGTCTGCAAGTACACCATCCAGGTAGACCTCCATAATGCTCTTTACTCAAGTTTAGGGCTCACTTTATGGAGAGATCATAAGTAGTAGTAGTCTTTGACCATCTTGCATAAAGAGGGAAAAATTGCTTTGGGGTGCCTGAAAAGTCTTAATGTCTTAAGTTCAGTCTGATCAAATTTAAGATTAATTCAATTAAGGCAATATTTTCTGGTATATCAAAAATCTTGTTATTTTAAGAGGTCTTAAATGTGGGGACTGGAGTCAAAAATGTGGTCGAATGTGATTATTAAACTACGAAGGGTGATTTAATTTAAATGTTAGCATTTCAAAGTAAAAACTCGTGAAACATAATCATATCTGCAAAATCTAATGTCGATTAACCTCTAGCCAGGGTTATTATAGTTTACTAAAACCATTAAAAATTGTTGCTTGAAATAAACATGAACTGAAATAAGCTTATTTTAATATCAAGTTAAACTAAGTGAAAAATGTTTCCTTGGCAATATAGACATTATAACTAATTCAAAATATTACTATAGTATCTCAGTGAGTCAGTGATATTAAAAGAATGCTGCCTTTAACCATTGCTATTAACTCTATTGCTCAATTTCAATACATGTGTATATGGAATAAAACAGTGTTTTAAACTTGGTTAGCATTTGAATGTGTGCCTGTTTAATTAAGTGAAAGAATTTGAGATGCATGTTTTATTTTGAGGTTGTATTGGTTTGTTCTGCATGCACATGCAGTATTTTATTTGTGCAGGTCTTAAAGGCTTTAACTTTAAAAACTCTACAGATACCCTGATGTTTATGATAGCTTGTGCTGTTCTGAAACCCTTTATTTTGATTTGTCCACAGGATGACAGCCACACTGAGTGGGTGTCCTGCGTGCGTTTCTCTCCCAACAGCAACAACCCCATCATTGTGTCCTGCGGGTGGGACAAAATGGTCAAGGTGAGACCTTTGTCTGTACCTTTATGTAAACTAGAATAGTTGCTCTGTGAACAACTTTACCCTGTGATTAATCAAATCCACATTCTTTTTGTCTGAGCTCTTGGGCTCTGACGACAAGTCCTGCAATTATGATGGGTAACGGATTGAGACCATTAACAAAGTGAACCGGTTTCATCAGGGCAGCTTGCGTGGATTGGCTTGAATGCTTGCTAATGCAGCCAGTTTAAATTGTGTGTTTGTTACAGGTATGGAATCTTGCTAACTGTAAGCTGAAGACCAACCACATTGGCCACACTGGATACCTGAACACAGTGACCGTGTCTCCTGATGGATCTCTGTGTGCCTCTGGTGGAAAGGTAATGTGGTCACTCTTTTTCTGGTTTTCACTACTGCAGTTAGTGAACAGGTTAGAGGTTTGAGATGACCGAGTGAAGATGATGAAACCTTAATGCCATCTGAATCCATGTGATTATAAAAGAGGCTGTTTCTGAACACAGAAAAAACCATTGTGAGTTTTCAGAGCTCACAACTTTTCTATCTGTATTTACTGTGTTTGTCCTCATTTCAGGATGGGCAAGCCATGCTGTGGGACCTGAACGAGGGCAAGCACCTTTACACCCTGGACAGTGGTGACAACATCAACGCCCTTTGCTTCAGCCCCAACCGCTACTGGCTGTGTGCCGCCACTGGACCTAGCATCAAGATCTGGGTGCGTTTATGTACATGAATGCTTTTCATTCGTATTAAATACTTTAAAATACTGTATATCTAAGATGTTTCAAATGCAAAGATTTCCCTTCTTTAAGACAAAACTGCAAGCTTCAGTGTGAATTAAGTGCTTTATCCTTAATATATTAACAGTAACTGTTTAAATTGGAGCAGAGAGTTCAGTGATGAAAGTTCAATGCCTTCTGTAACTATGATGATAAAGAGGCTGTTTCTAAGAACTATTGGCCCAAGCGGGTATAACATTATCATACTGCTGTTGCAAAGCTGACTGTTTTCTCTCAACAGGATCTGGAGGGCAAGGTCATTGTTGATGAGCTGAGGCAGGACATCATCACCACCAACAGCAAGGCTGAGCCACCTCAGTGCACTTCTCTGGCCTGGTCTGCTGATGGACAGGTGGGTTTTACAGCAGCCTTTTCTGCCTGGAATGAGTTCCTGAACTATTCCTTGCATTTCATTAGTTGTAAATTCTAGCTGGATCAGCTGCTCCCGTTGATTATACCCAATCACTTATAACATCTGAAACTTTATGGTGACAGTCCTGCAAATATGAGGGGGACAGTAATATGATTTTAAATCAGTAGCAAGTGCTTCTAAAGTGGTACCTGATAATAATTCCCGTCTCTTCTCATCACAGACTCTCTTTGCTGGATACACAGACAACCTGATCAGAGTGTGGCAGGTGACCATTGGAACAAGATAGACGCCTTTTCTAATGTCTAAATAAAATAAAAACTTTTAAAAAGAACTACAATTGACTTTGTTTACTTATTTTTTTCTGACTTGCAATAAACTACAACTGAAATGCAACCATTTGAGTCGTGTAAATAGGTTTGAATAGCCGCTAGATGGCGCTAATGTATGTTGATTAAATTTATGCGACTTGTTGCCTAGCAACAAGGCCAACAAACCGGACTCTACGTTGAGGACACGACATGATACAGACGCTTGAAATATAAACTATTTTAGTGTTGTAGGTAAGTAAACGTAGTAATTGTGCTTCCATTCTGGTAAATTAAACTATTTGCACTTTATAATTTGATCAATTTTGCCTTGGCTGTTCAAGCAACTTCAAATTTAACCGTGAAAAAGTCCTGTAACGTCAATAGCAGAAAAATAGTGAAACGCTACCGTTAGCTGTTTAAACGTCATGGAGAGCGACAGTCCTCAGAAACAGATGCCTGCACCTCGTATCTTCGTGGAGAGAACTTTGGTTTTAATCAAACCTGATGCCATCCACAAAACCGATGAAATTGAGGACATTATTCTTCAGTCTGGATTTACAGTTCTTCAGGTAACGTTACGTAAGTGAACAGACACAACGATTTTTTTTCTATTATTAAATATTGCGTTTTGCACGGCGCATAAGATGAATTATTTACATGGTGAATTGAGACAATCCCTAGTTTGTCATTTTCTGAGTCCAAGATCGTCATGTGGTGTCTGATGCCACTACATTGTACTGTTTAAAATGAGGCTGATGAAATGTATTAAAACAACAAAAATCTATGCTTTCACGATTCCTATTTCCTTCCTTCTAGCTTGCACTGTTATGGACAGGGTTTGAAACATTGTGTGACCAGCACTCATTGTGTTATTGCCTGCTTATGATAAATCGAGTGTATTCCTCATTCGTAAATCGCTTTGGAGAAAAACCTGTTTAATAAATGTAAATATGCATTGTGCTTGTCAGCTAAAATCTCATTTTGTGGCTGATGCTTTAGTAAGATTTGCATTCTGCTTATGCCTTTATCATTCTCATTTTGTTTTTCTCATTTAACAGAAAAGAAGGCTTCAGCTGAGTCCAGAGCAATGCAGTAATTTCTATGTTGAGCATTATGGGAAGCTGCATTTTCCCCATCTGACTGCCTTCATGAGCTCCGGACCGGTTGTTGCTCTAGCACTGGCCCGACACCAGGCTATTGCCACCTGGAAAGCCATAATGGGGCCAGTCAGCAGCATCAAGGCTAGAGAGACGCATCCTGACTGGTAATGAATGTCACTGAATGAATCTTCTCTATGCAGGTGGTTTAATAATAAAATGGACTTATGAAGTTCATGTGCTGTAGGGGGAACTATTACAGTGCACCGTTTTCTGTGCCTTTTAAACTCTTGGCAAAATAAATAGATAATTTTTGTTGGATTTTATGCACTTCAGGCTAATGATTTACAAAGTCTGTGTTCATTGCAATGCCTAAATCAATCACATAACTCATTTGTCATTGCAATAAAGCTATATTGATTATGCATACTGTAATATGTTTCATTTGTGCTCAATATCAGTAATTATTTCCATGTAACACTCATATTTGTGAATGTCATCATCAGTCTGAGAGCGAGATTCGGCACTTGTGACCTGCGGAATGCTGTGCATGGCAGCGAATCCTTCACTGCTGCTGAGAGGGAGATCAGGTTCATGTTTCCCAACTGTGAGTAAATCTAACCCTGTCCAGATGAGTTCAGTGAACAGGATAAGAAAGCATTCTAAAAATCTGATTTATTTATTTTTTGGTCATCACTTTTAGCTGTGATTGAACCCATTCCTATGAGAGATGCCGCCAAAGATTACCTGAGCCAGTATGTCAGCCCAACACTTCTCACTGGACTGACAGAGCTGAGCAAGAAAAAGCCATTGGACCCTTTTGTAAGTGTAAAAGCTTTTAAAAGTCATTCTAATAGGTTTGGAAGTACTTGAGGGCAAATACATTGACAGAATTGTAATTTTGGAAGAATTTCATTAAAATTGTTCAACCCGATTCCTTTCTTTTGACACCCTGGATCCAGTTGTTCAAAAGAAATTTGGCTATTAGATTGGATCAAATCATGAAAATGGGCTTTTCACATGGAAAAAAAACCCATTCTGAAATCTGATTAGAGCATACAATCTTGCTTTTGATCATACTCAAAAACCTTCAGTATGTGTTGTTCAAATTTTTTTAGCAGGAATGGGATACCTTTGATCCAAAAGAAACAACAATCAGGATTATACTGGTCCTAGCTGATGGGTGGATTTCAGGGACAAAATGTAATGACTGGCTACCGTAAAAAGTAGGCTATCTATTAAGCCTTTCAAAACAGTAACGTAAAAATGATATTGTCCCCATAAAATAAGCAGCTCATTATCAAACAAAAAATGGTAATTTATCAATGTATATTAATTACAGTGACTGACACAATCAACAGAAATGAACCAGTCAAAAGAAGTTTCAAATATTTGCATCCCTTATTGCATGTATGTTTGTTTGTTTTTATTTATTTGTTGTAGGTCAGATGAGGACAATGGAAAGGGATGTTTCTATTCAAATAAAAACACTTGGACAGTGCAAATACAGATCATTCTGGATTTCATAATATGTCAATATCCTATTTACTCAATTATTTTTGTACTGTTATTTTTCTTTACAGACATGGCTTGCAGACTGGTTGATGAATAATAACCCTAATAAGCCCAAAATATCTGATGGAACAGTAGTAGAGGAGGCAGCAGCGTGACATTTTTTCTTTTTTTAAGCAAGAAGAATTTACCAACAAGAAGTTACTGTCTCACTCTATTTTGGTCTATTTTCCTCATATCATTCAAACTGCTTTATAAAATAAAGTTTTGTAATTTTGCTTTAGCCCTTTTTTCTTTCTTTTTTTTATCCAAATGTGTTAGTTTTAAATTGTCAATGTTCATTTAATTGTAAGATAAAATTGCAAATTTACAGTATCCTTGTCACTGCATACTTAAACAGTAGAAACATTCTAACATTATTCAACATCAAATAAAATCTTAAAATTCATTATTAAAAAGAAAATCATTCTACCCTTCTGATGGTGATAAATATCTGGTTCACAATCATTTTTTTGAAGAACTTAAGTATATTAAAACAATTGTCTGATCTCGACAAAAAAAATTAATGTAATAAAGCAAATAATTAAAAGGCCTATTGCAAAAGCTGCTGTAACTTCCTCATTACTATTTGACTAAAAATCGAAATACAAACGCTTGTTTCTTGCATTATTTTCTTTGTAGCTCCCTTCTAAACATATTATTTTAATTTCACTTAAAAGTGGTCGTCAACACGTTTATAAACCAAACAAGAACAAAGAGTTCTTCCCCCTCACTCGACACGAAGGACCTTCTGATGGTGATAAATATCTGGTTCACAATCATTTTTTTAAAGTGAAGAACTTAAGTATATTAAAACAATTGTCTGATCTCGACAAAAAAAATGAATGTAATAAAGCAAATAATTAAAAGGCCTATTGCAAAAGCTGCTGTAACTTCCTCATTACTACTTGACTAAAAATCGAAATACAAACGCTTGTTTCTTGCATTATTTTCTTTGTAGCTCCCTTCTAAACATATTATTTTAATTTCACTTAAAAGTGGTCGTCAACACGTTTATAAACCAAACAAGAACAAAGAGTTCTTCCCCCTCACTCGACACGAAGGATCAGACGAGGCGCGTTTGGGGGAGGATTTCTGTGACGTGTAAGCGACACCTTTGATTGGCTATTAGAATGATAGGCGTTCGAAGCCACCCAATTAAATACGCCCTTACTAAACTTCCTTTATCTTCCATCCAGTAATATAAAACCAACCACTTGTCGGCGCAATAAGGAAGGGCCCACACCGCGGAAAGCATTCCACGGAGACTTTTCACTTGCTGCTGCTTTTACGGTAAAGTATTTACGTGAAAATTACGAATTTGTTAGCCTCCGTGTACGTATTAGTTGCATTAACCCTTACATTTAATCATAGGACAGTAAAGCTGTGTATTATCCTAAATTAGAAAGCGATATGTTTAAATTTTTGTTGCGTATGATAAATGCGAGCGCCGCTTTTCAAAATGGTGGTTTTTATGCGTTACATAAGGCGCTTCCTTTCGTAACTATTTCACGTACTCTGCAGTTTTAGGTTTTCACATTAAACTACCACCATGTCAGACGCCGAGCAGCATTATATGGAAACCTCAGAAAACGGCCACGAGGACGATCTGAACGGAGCCGGGCAGTACGAGGAAGGCAACGGGGATGAGCAGGCCGGAGCGCAGGGAGACGCCGGTGGCGACGAAACGGCCGGGGACGAGGAAGACCCTCAAAATGGTTCGTCGGACGGGGGTCAAATTGATGCTAGCAAAGGAGAGGAAGATGCGGGGTACGTAAAAGTAACAGTTGTGCTGGATGCTCGTACGTTAAACCCTTTGTCCTTCCCGTCTTTGTTGGCGCCATGTGTCTCTTTGTAGGGGGATGGGTGCATTGGTGAATTGAACACGGAGCGGGTTTTTAAAATGCACTGTTGCACCTCTTTAATCGTTCCCTTAAGCAGACGTTTTTGTGTGTGTGTGTGTGTGTGTGTGTGCGCGCTTAATTAATACATCTGTATTGTGTTGCCGTTTTGGTTTCCGTTTATTAGTAGAAAGTGGGCTTTTTTTCAATTCAAGAAATGGGGAAATTTGTGAAATCTGTGCTACCACGCCCCCTCCTGGTCTCACTCCGATTTTCTGCTTCGTTTCCTCAGGAAAATGTTTGTTGGGGGCCTCAGCTGGGACACGAGTAAAAAGGATCTTAAAGATTACTTCTCTAAATTTGGAGAGGTGACAGACTGCACCATCAAAATGGACCCCAACACTGGGCGATCAAGGGGATTTGGGTTTATTCTTTTTAAAGAGTCAGCCAGTGTAGATAAGGTAAGCTTTGATGCTTAGGAAAACCTGAAGTCTTGTGATTCTTCGATGGTTAACTAAATCGTTAATTTCTCTTTGCACAGGTTTTAGCACAAAAAGAGCACAGACTGGATGGACGACAGATTGACCCCAAGAAGGCAATGGCAATGAAGAAAGAACCTGCTAAGAAGATCTTTGTCGGCGGGCTGAACCCTGAAACTACAGAAGAGAGGATCCGCGAGTATTTTGGTGCCTTTGGCGAGGTACTGGAGTGTTCTTTTTAGAGTTTGAATTTCTTTAAATTGTTTTAAGCAAGCTGAGCAGAAAATTTAGACGTGTAATCAAAGTTTTACATTGGAAATATGATTTCAAGCGTTTGTTTAGTTAAAGGAATGATAACGTAATTGGTGTATGTTGGCAATGTAAAGTTTCGCTTTTGATCTTTGCACGCACTTTCTTTTGTATAGTTTTTTTTTTTCCCTGCCTCCTTTGGTTAATAGATGTTGTGTTTTGTGTTTGCAGTTGTTGGTTTAGCAGTTTACTGTTTTTTTTTTTTTTTTTTTCAAATAAATGCAGCCTTGACTTGGCCGTTTCTTTCCAGTGTGACGAATGAACCAAATACAGCCACACATTTTAACACCTCTATTTTCACTTATTCAATAATCCTGGCAAAAAGTAAGAAACATGTTCACAAAATTGAATTAAGAATCCAAAATAATGAAGTTTTTTTTTATATATATATACACATTTGTTGACATGACTTTTGCCATTGCAGATTGAGACTATTGAACTTCCAATGGATCCAAAGACAAATAAGAGGAGAGGGTTTGTCTTCATTACCTTCAAGGAAGAAGAGGCTGTCAAGAAAGTTTTGGAAAAGAAATATCACAACGTCAGTGGAACCAAGGACACAAGTGGAAAAGAAGGCCTTGTGAGTGTTTCCAGTTTGATGTTTACCTTAAATTTATTGATGGATGTGATAAATCTTCAGGGATGTTGTTCGCTATTTGACATTGTACTAACCTTTTATACTTGACATGAATATACCATAAGATTTTATACAGTGTCTACAAGTCCGTGGTCTTGCTTGATTATTCATTGTAGCTGTAGTGTTTTATGCAGATGTTCTGCTATAATGATTCCAAATCACCCATTTTTGCCTTTTTTCCCCCCCGCAGTGCGAGATTAAGGTTGCGCAGCCAAAAGAAGTGTACCAGCAGCAGCAGTATGGAGGTCGTTTTGGAGGGAGAGGAAGGGGGCGTGGAGGTTAGTACCTCTGCATGCTACTTTAGGCTGCATTAGTCTGTGCAAAGTTTACCTAGATAAAGACTGAATGCTCATCAAATGTACAGAGATATGCATTCGAAAACAACAGTCAACCTTTTGTGTCTATATGAATCGAATGCTGTCGAGTTAATTGAGGCAAGTCACTTATTTATGTAGAGCTTCATACAATACAAATTTTAAAGCTGCTTCATAGTAATAAACGGGAAGATAATAATCAATGCTGGAAACTTGTTCAAATATGAGAGATTCTAATTCTGCCGTAAAGCAGCTCCAAAAAGACAGTATTCAGTTAGTGGAGTCCGGTCAGTGTTAATTCAGTTCAGTAACTGTAAAGTTACTCCAATTATGAAACCAGTTCAATTCAGCTATAAGCAGCTCTACAGAAGATATAAGATGTAATATACTTATGACTGAGGCTAGTTTAAACATACTGCTGAATCTGATTTTCTGATAACTTCATTGAATTATAAATATTTGTAATAAAAAAATCCTATCAGAATTTATTATTGCTCACATGCAGATATTTTAATCTATTTCATCTTGTGTATATGTGAAGTCTTCAGATTTAATCTCTTAAAAGCTTTGGCTGATCTCGGATCTGATTAATCTAAATCCATTCTAATGTCCCACAAAGCTTGAGTAGAGACCAATCACTTTATGGTTTTACAAGTTGCTCACAGATATCAGGGTACGTTACTGTGCCAGATGTGTTTAAAATTGGTTTTGTTTTGTTTTGTAGGCCAGGGTCAGAACTGGAATCAGGGCTACAATAACTACTGGAATCAAGGCTACGGTAACCAGGGATATGGCTACGGCGGCCAGCAAGGTTACGGTGGATACGGAGGCTACGGCAACTACGATTACACAGGGGGCTACTACGGCTACGGCGGAGGATATGACTACAGTAAGCACTGATTGTTCTTGGGGTTTCCTCCCCGCCCCCGTCAGGTTCTTGTGAATGCGAGGGACTCAAGTTCCTTTCTCTGCTCTTTTCTTACCCCCCTAGACCAGGGCAATACAAGCTATGGAAAAACTCCAAGACGTGGGGCTCACCAGAGTAGCTACAAGCCATACTGATCATGTGTAGTGCAGGTATGAATTTTGATTTTTTTTTTTTTTCCCCACCACTCATGGTAAGGTTAATTTGGTTGTGTTGCTCCATTACCAATTCATCTCCATTTACCCAGATGAACTATAAGGCAGATAGAGCGATCCATTTTGGGGTGGGTTTTTATGGTCCAGTAGGGTTGTAGCAATAGATACAGGCCCCATCTCTTCACCTCATTATTATTATTATTATTATTATTATTATTTTTATTTTTTTGTATTGTATGGTTGTATTTTACATCATGGCTGTGTCTACCACATCTAGGCTCAGAGCCCTCAAAATGCTTTCAAAATAAACAGTTTTGGTTAATTTTTCTTTTATTGTTTCTAGATTAATTTTTTTTCCTTTGTCACCTGTGCTTAGTTTTGCAAAGTTGCATGGCTTCAAGGTGAGATAAAAAGGGATTTCCTACCGATTGTAAGCTTGTCCATTAAAATCTGTTAGTGGCAAGTCTTGGTGACTTTTTTTTTTTCCCCCCCTCTTTTAAGGAGAATTCCTCCCATCTTGTTAGATATTTAAGAGTGGCTTTAATAGTGATTCAGCTATACCTCAAAACATACACAGGTAACTGTAACATGATTCTTTCTCGAAACACTGAATACATGTTTCTCCAGTGTCTTGGACAAATTTCAAGAAATAAACTTGATTTTTAAGATGTCTAAGTCTTTTGCGTTTAATTTACATAATGAAGTTGTCTTAACCAATAAAATCTAGATTGCATTTTGAAGAAATTAGAATGTTAAATAAATGCTGGTAAAATGTAACATTACTGTACAAAGTGACAGTAAAAACTAGGTTGTTGTTGTAAGAGTTTATGAGAGTTCAGTCAGGATTGTTTTATAGAGGCAGCTGGAAGTAGAAAATAGATCACGGTTTAAACTAGGCTAGTTTGTATCTAAACCTGACAGAAATTGTTTGGACCACAGCCTAAAGGGCCATGCATGGATAAAGCATCTTGTTCCAAACTTGACCTATAATATAAAGAGAAGTTACTACAGCACATCTTTCATTTCTGCTTTTGTTATAACTTAAAATTCTATTTAAAGCAACAGCAAACTTACTACATTTGTCACAGTTCTGGATATTTTTCCTTGAGCTGATATGTGCAGAGGACTTGGAGTGAGTTTTTAGTTAAAACATTTTAGAAAGGTGTCTAAAATTGGCATGGTGTGTAGTAACGGCATCTACCATGCTAACCAACCTAACCTATAGATATATATATATATGTAGGGTATTTAAAGAAAGTACTACTTTAAGGATGCATGTAATTGATTAAAGGTGACAGTAAAGATGTATAATAAAATGTATATTTCAATAAATGCTCTATTACAATTTCCACAAAAAATATTAAGCAGCACAACTGTTTTCAACATTAATAAGAAATGTTTCTTAATTAGAATGATTTCTGAAGGATCATGTGACGCTGAAGCCTGGAGTAATAAATTACTTATTTTAAAATCTATTAAAATAGAAATTTTATTTTAAATTAATATTTTACTATACGGTTTAAACTTTATCAAATAAATGCAGCCTTGGTGCATAAAAGACTTAAGCAAAAACATTTCAAATATTCAATATTACAAACCCCAAACTTTTAAACATCTTTTGTTCATGAAGTTCATTTGTATCTTCTAGTGTTTTGCTCCAAGACAGTCATATTTACTTTATGACAAAGTTTTTCATATGGCCAATTTTTTGCTTAAAATTTTAGCTTATAAATGTTGCTGCCTTGCAAGTTCTGACAATTCCTTCTGTAAATGCAAATCTAGTTTACAGAAGTCACATGCCTTTTAACAGTAGAGGGAAGTCCATGGTTTTTGTAGGCGAGTTATGCAAATTTGAAACCCAAGATGCATAGCAGTATACCAATATGAAATGTTCTAAAATTCTAAACAGATCAAATGACAACTATTTTTCTTTCTTTTTTTTATTTCAATCAAAATAATAAAACCTGAGGAAATCCAGGCAAATGAAACAAAAGGAAAACCCTGAGGGCACACAACTGTGTACATTTATGTTCTGATGCGCTTTTTAAGGTGAAACACCAAACTTGTGCAACAGACATTTATTTGGCATATAGTCGGTCTTTGCCATTAAACAATCAACAATGTTTGCTGAGATATAAAGCTCAGAAATTAGAGATTTTGCCATGGATTTCCCCCGGCTCACACGTAATGCAACATTTTCTTAAAAAAAAAAAAAAGGTAGAAAGTATCATATGTACAATAAAGAACTTTAAAACACTGCCACTTGAAAATAGTTTTTTTTTTTTCTTTTTCTTGTAAGCGTCTAACAAATACTTTTAAACAAAAGAATAAGACACCCTTTGGCTGTTTAGCTCATTAAAAAGCCCTGTAATCTGGTGAATATGTGATGTCCGCTGATCGTGGGGGAAGCAGCAACATCTCGACAGATAAAATAAAGAATTCTCCACAGGAGGTAGATGAAAGACTCAAATGTCCATCTCAAACTGGTTGTCATCAGCTAAAAAAAAAAAAATAGACGTTGATTAGAGTGTTTCTTTGAGGTATTCTATGGAAGCCCGTTCCCACCACAAAATCAAAACAGTAATTGTGACACTATAACTTTTTATCTCATATTTCTCTCTTTTTCACTCACATTTTTTATATTTCCCACACAAAGTTTATATCACAGTTCTGAGTTTGTCTTGCAATTCTGACTTTGTCTCAAAAAAAAAACAAAAAAAAAAGATTTGTGAAATATAAACTCAGAATTGCAAGACAGAACAAAAACCGAACAGGATATACCAAAATAATGTGTTTCATGGGAAACCTGAGGGCTTAAAGTGTCCTGGAAATGTTATCGCAGAACAGGTTTTCATTCTTTATTTTTCTTTTTCTGGAGCAGACGGCAATTTTACCTGCCAGATCCTTCTCCTCCTCCAACTCCTCTTTGAGTTCCTGCAGTTTGGACATTGGATGGAGTGAAGGAATGGTTACCCCAGGAATCTGGGGCAAACAACAGGGTGGGGTCCGGGCAATGGGAGAGTTCCTGCAGTCCAGGAGGAATTTTCTGTCATAAATGATCCGAGTTCCTGGAGGAGGGATAGAATGTATATTAAAGCAACCAATCAGATGGCTAGAAAAATATATTTACATTCTACGCTGCAGGGTACAACATGTAAGGAAAAAAAAAAACCTTAAGATTCCAGCCAAATGTTTTAGCACTCAAAAACAAACAAAAAAATGTGACTCCGAAGAGGATTTCTTGGGATTAAAACCAGAATGAACAGCAATTCTAATCTATTTAACAAAACAAAAGAAAGATAGCAATTAACTCGATGTGCCACTCAACATGTCCATGCGATCAGATTGTAAACAAAGACTGAAATGTTTCACATTTTGCATGTGAAAAGAAGCACTCAAGCTCCCAAAAGCAATGAAAAATGGGGTGAACTGAACTGCAGGACTCAGCACCTCCCATTTTAGTTCTAGGAAATTTGAACCCGTCTGCACATGAGCAAGCAGAGCCGAGACGCGAGGGCACCGCAATGTAACAGATGAGTGTTGTGAACATGTAGTGAACAAACTTATGGAACTTAACTAGCCCCAGTTAGGTTTGTTCTGACTTAAGAGCTGTTGAAGGTGCTGTCTGGAGTCTGACATGCGCTAAACGTCGTGCCATTTCTGTTGTAGCTGAAGCTATACTATATCCAGCAGTCCAACCAGTGGCTGAAAAACATGTTACGCAACCTTCGCTATTTAGTTCAGTGTGTTCTGGACAAAAGATGGCTGAGAGAGAAGGGGCAGGGTGTGGATGGAGCTGCTCTGGTCAGTGGAATGCAGGGAGACCAACCCAACGGTTTCAGCAGGACTTTGTTCTGCTGAAGCATGTTTTATTCCCTGATTGGTCTTCAGCAAGTGTGCAGTTTGCTTAGAGTTTCACTCCCAATCACCAGAAAAACAACAGAGAAAAAAAAGGGAAATTATATTTTGCATTAAGAAAACAAAGCTCACTTTTGGATTATTATTGGCATAATTGTGACATTATATTCATGTATTTGTTCTTTAAATAAACAGTACAACAAATACTACCTTGAGATGTATGAATTATTTAACCCCAAAATCAACAGAAAAAAAGTGAAATTATTTTGTATAAAGTTGTTTTTGTTTTTAATAATTTTATTTATTTATTTTGTGTGTGTGTGTGTGTGTGTGTGTGTCTGTCTTTCTATTCTGGTGGGGACTTAAACCTGAATACACACAGACTCATGGGGACCCGTGTCACGGTGGGGACCTAAATTGAGGTCCCCATGGGTAAACAAGCTAATAAATC